CGACGATGATGATGATGATGATGATGCTGATGATGACGGTTATGGTAATGGTGATGGTGGTGGTGATGGTGATGATGATGGTACGAGTGATAATGTTAGATATTCTGGAAGTTGCTCATACTTTTTATTGTGACGCCAAAATCTCCATATGTTTTTGAAAGACCTTTTACCGAAACACTACAGCACTTCGTTTGGCAAGGATTGACCTGCGCGAGGACGGAGACGCGCGCGCGGCCCGCATGGCATAATTTTGCAGTTGCGAGGCACAGCATGATGGTGGAATGTGTGCGACGTGCGCGCGCATGTGGCCCGCACGGCCCCGTCTGACAGAGTGACCACACACCTAGGTCGTTCTTACGACTTCCGCGAGTGCGCTCGCGCTCGCAGACGTCTTGCAACCTGCTGCTGGAAAGAGCACACTGGTTTTCCCCAAGCAGCGCTTGCACTTGGAGGCGCTTCCACAGGGAACTCTAGACGCTTAGCGTATCCCCACTAGCCGCTAAGATGCGTCTCCCTGAATTTAGTTCATTTTGTTCTGTGCATGTGCCGCTGCGAGCATTCGCTAATTGCACTCTGGCGTTGGCTTTTGGCCCGCTGGCAATTATCTTGCGTGCTGCCCCATGCTCGATACGACCCGCTCTCTGGAATCGTCCTTGGAGCCGCAGATCAAAAAAGTATCCCCACCAGCCCGTCCAGAACTGAGTCCAGGGGACGGGATAGGGGGAAGGGTAAACCCCTCCCCGAAGGGGAAGAAGGGGGTTGGAAGAGGAAACTCTCTAGACCACCGACGCCCAGAGCGCTGGTGGGATTGCAGTGGCGTGCCAGGCTGCCGCCTCGTGCCTGGCCCGTGGGCGCCTCGTGGGCGCCTCGTGCTGCGTGGGCGTGCCGAGGTCTCGCCCAGGGCCCGCCCGGGGACGCCTCGTGGGCGCCGCGCGCGATGCTGGCGGGTGCGCCGAGGTTCCGGCCGCTGCCCGCAGGTGGCCGCCTCGTGGGCGCCTCGTGAGCGCCTCGTGGGCGCTGCTGGCGGGCCTCCCGAGGGGCCGCCCGGCTGGTGCCGGCCCGTGGCGTCCCCGCTGGGCGCCGCGCGGGCGCCTCGTGGGCGCCTCGTGCGCTGGGCGGCGGGCCGCGCGGGCTGCACTGCCCATCGGGGGCGGACAGGCCTCACTCAGGAGGGGAAAAAACACACAGACACAATTAATCGTCGACTCCCCAGAAAATACGGGAGAATATGGGAAGTGATGGGGAAGACAAGAACCCAGAAAACATGGGACAACATGCGGAATCTTTGTATTTGTGTGTATTTATTTGTGTGTCCCAGGGCCCCTTCACTTACACTCTGACACGTCGATCAGTGGGCTGTCCGTTTTCGGTTCTCGGGGGGGCGCCGGGGCCGTCATGTTCCAGGCTTGGGCCCGCCAGCTCTGGGCCCGATGTCGTTTTCACGAAGCCACGCTCTACTAAAGGGGGGTCGGTCCATCCCCGGACCCAGCTTTTACCACAAAGCTTGCACCACATGGCTCAGTCCCTCCTTTCAAGAGAAGAGTAAGCTCCACTGCCCTCTCCCCCCGGGGGTTATCGACCCCCCCCCCTGCGGCACGGCAGATTACATAATTAGGATTCTGCTCCATCGCCCCCCTCTCGATGCGAGCTCATGATTTGCGGCCTGGGTCCTGCAGTGGCAAACGCACGAGCTGTGGAGCAGATGTATGGGAAGGGTCAGAGACCCCATTGCATGGAGTGACTGCGACGCGCGCGCGTGTGGGGGCGCGCGCCTGTGGCCTTGCGGGGTGCTTTTGGCCTCGCGCGTTTCTACAAAGCCCGCTTCCTGGACCAGCGCACGTGCACCGCACAGTGTCTCTGCGCGAGATGATGGGGCGTCGGTGCCAGCCTGGCTGGAGTGGTGCTCTTGTGTATACCTAGGAGGAGCGATGATGCACTCTGGGCACGCAGCAGAGCCACACGTGGATCGGAGGGGGTGGGAGAAGCCCAGCTTCGGCGGGGGGATGCTGGTTGTCGGTGTGTCTGTCCTCTTGGGGCCTCGCTGGAGCCCCCTTCGGGCGTCTCCTGGAGGCTTCTCGGGGCATCTAGGGGCATCTCGGGGAGATCTTGGAGCCTTGGGGGGCTCGTTGGGCCATCTGTGGATTGTCTTTGGGCGTCTTGCAAACGTTTGGGGGCGATCTGTGGCTTGTTGGAGTCGTCCTTAGGCTGAAAATGGCGATCGACAGCACCACTACACGGGGGGCTCTGACACTGGGTGTTCGGGGAGGGCGCACCTTGAAAAACCACAGAAACCTTACCTGGCACTACCAGGCTGTGGAGAAGCATTCCAACACGCCTCGATCGCGCACATCGCGCCCGCGCGACGGCGGATAACAATCAAATTTGTGATTTGGCGTCGAGTACGTGCATCACAGCACATCACTTCACTGTCACTGCGCAGTGCCCAAGCCAGACAATCGTCAATGGGGATTTCATTATGTTTGGCACCAGTCTGAGTGGAGCACCTGTTTACACAAATGGACATACGTATATCTATTACGATCATTGTTGTGGCGGCGAATACACAACAGCAGGTGCATGCTCTGGTGATCTACCAGGCTGGTTGATCAGCGATATCGAACCCGACCTGTCAGCTGAGGGAAATCTCGATGGAGTTGTAGGGACGTGTTACGCTTTGGCGTATCGAAGACCCCTGCGGCAATTTCCCGCCGCCCCCTGCCTTCTGGAAACACCTGCGCCATTCCAACGTCGGGCGAAAGTGCGGCCACGCTGGTGGACCGTGTGCTCCCCCGGCTGTCCGGGAGAGTACTGCACGAGCACCGGGGGGCGGGGTCGCCTCGGGGTGTGCATCGGGGCTCTTTTCGAGCCTTTAGCGGCCGTTTTGGGGGACCTCCTGGGGCCCTCTTGGTTCATCTTGGGGCCTTCTGCGGCTGTCGCAGGGCCTTCTTGGGCCGTCTACGCTTTCGGAGGCCGCAGCGGGTGCCTCTCTGAGCCGTCTGTCTTGGGGCCGTATTCGGCCGACCTGGAGGCCTCTTGGAGGCCATCTTGGAGGCCATCTGTGACCGCCTCGGGCCGCACTTGCCAGGCACAAAGGGTACTTGTGCACCTTATGCGGGGGCGGCGCGGCAGGCAGAAGTGTTTGTGGGAGCCGTTTGGAAGGGCGAAGGTGTTCCCAAATACGACACGCTGCATCTGGGCTAAATCACCGCGGGCGGCGGATCTAAGACGCCTGCGGTGACTCACAGCTCCCTGCATTTCTGGAGATGTCGATGTGGCCAAAGGTTGGGCCAAAGTTTGACCACGCTATTGGACTATGTGTGCACCCGGCCGTTGTGGAAACCCTTGTGTGAACATTTTGGGGGGGAGGGCAGGAGTAGGAGAGGAAGGAGGAGGAGGAGGAGGAGGAGGAGGAGAAGGGAGGAGGAGGAGGAGGAGGAGGAGGAGGAGGAGGAGGAGGAGGAGGGCAGGAGCAGAGAGGTAGGAGGAGGAGGAGGAGGAGGAGGAGGAGGAGGAGGAGGAGGCGGAGGCGGAGGCGGAGGCGGAGGAGGCCAAGGAGGAGGAAGAGGGGGAGGGGGAGGGGAACGGGGAGGAAGCGGACGAGGAGGCGGCCTCTTTGGGGGGCATTGGGGGCCTCTTGGTGGTCTCTTAGGGCCTATGAGGCCGCCTTGCCAGATTGGTGCCATAGCGGGCTATAGATTTGCCGTCTTGGAGGGTGGAGGGCATTTTGGACCGTGCTCGAGGCCGTAAAGGGCCATCTTGGCCGACTTGAGGGACATCATGGCCATCGTGGAGGCCATATTGGGCCGTCCTGGGGCCATCTTGGAAGCCTCGTGGGCCGTCTGAGGCTGTCGGAAGTCCTCGAAGGCGCGCACGCCGAAATCATAAAAATTGATGGGGATCAAAATCTCGGGCCATCACGGAGGGGAGGGCTCATGGAAACCCTTGACCTACAGATGTTCTTGTGATTTGGGTCAGTTTGTTTGGCCCTCAGGGTCTTCATCAAGAACCCAGACGGCCCTTGGAACCTCTTCAGATACGAGGGCACATGGCAACGTTGGATTTGGAACGTCGCTCCTTTGGCCACTGGAGAAGCCGTGCAAGAAGGCCCAGGGGCGCATGGAACCGCCCAGAAATGTTGGAACTCGAGTGCCTGGGGACCTTGAGGAGTACGTACGGTAGGCTTGTGCTGCTCTGGCGCGCCGGCCACGCTGGCGAAGGCGTTCAAGGTTTAGGCACGAACGAAATGGGTATGGAAAGAATGGGTGCAATGCCCAACAGCAGTTCCTGTCCATTTCGAACAGGACTCGCTGTCCGCGCCGCCGCGGACGTTGTCCATTGAAGACAAAAAGCCGCCTGCCCAACAGCGGCCGCCGTCGGTTTTGAACAACATTTGTTGTTGGGCATTGTACACATTTTAAACGTACCCAATTCGGGCGTCCTAAAGGTTGAATTCTGCGAAGCGGAAGCATCGATGGACACGTTAACGTCATTGGACCCGACCGAATTTAATTTTGATGAACGATCGGGGCCGCGATCGATTCAAGGTTGAGCGATTGATGCGGTGCCAAAAACCTTTGCGGGCGCCGACGCCGCACCAATTTACCGTACAGCGCTCAAGTTTCCGGATGCCAGAGCTGCATCTCTGTTGGAGCTCAATACTTGAGGCAATTCACATGACGCTTGCAGTAGGGGATTCGCTACGATTGCGTGAGAGAGTAAACAAGCTTTCGAGGTTTTCGAAGGTTGGAAAAAAAACCGCAGGGCACTCCATTCAGTGCCTACGGCGCGGTGGCGGATACTCCTGGCAGTTTTACGACGGGCCCACCTACGCATACGGTGGAATGGTTTGTGCATTGCGGTGATGCCTTCACGTGGTTGAATTTGACCATCAAATACTACGCGTATGACTGCCAAGGCCCGATATTTTACTGCCAGCCTTCGGTTGTTATCTGCGATGGGGTCACTGAAATTGCTGCAGGCGCGTTCCATTCTTGCGGTGCGCTCAGGCAGGTGCGCATGCCGAATTCTATGAAGTCCATTGGGGCTTCAGCGTTTCATTCATGCAGTTCGCTCGAGCTTGTGGAAATGTCGGACTGGCTTGTTGAGATCAACCATTCTGCTTTCCACTCTTGCAGCTCGCTCGTTCACGTGGACATTCCCAATACTGTTGCGCATATCGGCCCCTTCGTCTTTTATGCATGCAGCTCGCTGCAGAGCGTCAGCATTTCAACATCGGCGGAAAGCATCGGCGAGTATTCCTTTAGCGAGTGCAGCTCCCTCGTTCAAGTGAGCATACCTGAATCGGTAACGTATGTAGGCCCTTGGGCTTTCTCCACGTGCAGTTCGCTTCAGAGCGTTGATATTGGTGGTCAGATTCGCGACATCCATGAGGGGACGTTTGCTGATTGCCAGGCGCTGGTTCATATACATATTCCTAGTTCTGTCACCACCATTGGCCCCAGAGCCTTCAAGTACTGTAGCAGCCTAAGTGTGGTTAGTATTTCTGAGTCAGTTATCCAGATCGCCGCAGAAGCGTTCTTGTCGTGCGCGTCGCTTGCGTTTTTGTGTATACCAGATTATGTTGTCGAATTGGACAATCGTGCGTTTGCTGACTGCGGTGCGCTGAGGAACGTTACGCTTGGTTCTTCGCTGCGTGACCTAGGAGACGCGCCTTTTGAAGGCTGCTGCAACATAACGGCCGTCGTCTCTCGGTCTGACAGTCTCACGAGCGTGTTCGACGAGTGCTCAATCATCACAGACGTTACAATTGCCGCAGGTACTGCCCAACAGACTATGCTCAGCAGTTGCGACCATGTGGTTACTTTGAGCATATTGGCCACACACGTGGTTTCGCATGCATGGTCAGGCTGCAGATCTCTGTTATATTTAAACTTCGGCAACGACGTGCTTTCTATCGGCTCACAGGCGTTCCAGAACTGCTCGGAGCTAGCCATTGTTTCCATTGGTGGATCCGTCATTACTGTCGGGGCTGAAGCATTCCGTGATTGCTCGTCATTGACATCTGTTGTCTTGGGGAGCAGTCTCGACTACATTGGAACGGATGTGTTCACCGACTGCCATGCGTTGACTGATGTGACCGTCCCTTCGCCGCTCCCCAGGAGTATAGTCGATGTGTTTGATTGCTCGATCCTGACCTCTGTAACCTTCTCAGAACCATCGACCAGCATCGACGACGAGGCTATGCGAAACTGTCCTTCTGTGGTTGCTGTATACATGTTCGATAACGTCACGTCCATCGGAGAACAGGCCTTCGCATTGTGTCCCAGCCTGTCTTCTGTCAAGATGTCAAACCAAATTCGATATATCGGAGCTGGGGCCTTCCTGGGCTGTGAAAGCATAATCGGCTTGTTTCTCAGTGATACCGTTGACTCCATAGGCGAAGGCGCGTTTGAGGGTTGCGCGGCCTTGGTTCACATGGAGCTCCCTCCGAATGTCATGAGCATCGCTGACAGGACCTTCTCTGGATGCAGTGCCATGGAAAACCTGACAGTGCGTGGCCTCGGTCGACGGCTGTCTGCGGGGGGCAGTTCCCAACTCCGGACCATGCGGATGCCTGCGGCAGGCCCCGCCGCCGTGCCAGCGCAGGACTGCTGTAGGAGGGCGGCGGTGATTCGGCAGCCCGCCCCAGCTCAGCGCGTTGTCTCCACCGGCGCGTGGCCCGTACGCCCAGTGCTCAGGAGGGGAAAAAACACACAGACCCAATTAATCGTCGCCTCCCAGGAAAATATGGGAAAATATCAGCAGTGGGGGGGAAGACAGAAACCGAGAAAATATGGGAAAATATGTTTAGTTGTGTGTATTTATTTGTGTGTCCCAGGGCCCCTTCAAGTGCGTTCTCCTCTTCTCCCCCCCCCCGCGGCCGCCTCTTCCTCCGCCTCGCTGCCCTCTGTGCCCCCGATTCGCTCTGCCGCGCCCCGTCCGCAGCTGCCCGACCGCGCGGCAGTTTTCTCCCGCCGCCGCCGATCAGAGGTGTCTTGCACACGCCTCCTCGTTGTCCGCAGCCTCCCCCGAGATCCGAGGTTGCGAAAAAGTGTAACATCGCGAGAAGTCACGACTGGAGCCCAAGACCCCTATCAGTCTGCGGCATTCTTCAAGCCGGATCGACTTGCGATGGTCCTGGAGCCTGAACCAAGCGAAAACGCCCGGTGTGAAAGAATGGCAAGCCCCCGGATCTCATGGTCGTTCCGCAAAGGTGGAAAAACCACCGCGACCCCGACAATTCGCGTTTACTACACAGCCTTGGGCGTTTACTTAACAGCCCTGCCCTGTTCGATTCCTTCCATGGGTGCGTTTACTAAACGGCTTCGCTTGTCGGGATGCTTACTGTGGGGGTGGATTTTCTGCCCCCTAGTTCCCCCCATCTTCCCCCTTCTCTCCTTACTTTTTTGCTCGTCCTTCCTCCTCCTTCTCCGTCGGCGGCCTCGGGGCCGTCTTGGGTGCGATGGCCCAGGGGGGTCGAGCAATCTCAGAGCTGTTTTCGGGCGCCCGCTGGGCCTTCTTGGGTCGGGCTCGGGAGCCTCGCCCGCTCGTGGGCGGGGCTTCTTCGGCACCGCCCAAGCACACTTCTACTTCCGGCGGCCCGGATTCGTAGGTCGACCTTGCCAGATCAAGGGTACACCTTAGGCGATGCTTAAGAAAACTTCAGTTTTCGTCCAGGGTCTCGATTATTCTTAATGGTTCAATGTAAATCCTAAAATTTTAATAGAAATGTTGGGTTTTTTACTCAAGTTCTGAGACTCTGAATTTCTTAACCCATGATTTCTTAAGCATTTCGCAGGGTGTACCCTTGTGTCCTGTGTCTCGCAACCCATGTTTCGTACATTCCTGTGGCGAGGTGGCCCTCGATACACTCTAGGCGATGCTTCAGAAAACCCATGTTTTCGTCCAGAGTCTCGATTATTCTTACCTTTTCAATGTAAATCCCAAGATGTTAATAGAAGTTCTTGGTTGTTGTTCAAATTCTGAGATTATGAATCTCTTAACCCATGATTTCTTAAGCATATCGCAGGGTGTAGGGTCTTGTGTCCTCTCGCGTGTCCTCTCCAGTCAGTCCCGACTGGAAGTGCGCGTCGGCCCCGCAAGGGCGACGCGCGCGCTGAGAAATCTTGCAGTCTGAACTCCACGGCGGACGTTTCTTGGCCATGCCGCTCGGGAAACGATCCATACACCACACGATGCATGTTGTACATGTTCGTGTCGGACGTGCGCTTCCAGCATCAGCGCGCAGTATTCGTATGTCCTTCGGCGCGGGGCCCAGGACAGCGCGGCTTCGTTCCGCCCGCGGGCACGAGGAGCTGCGACCCCACCGTGAGCAGGAGCGGACACTGGCTACTCCCACGTTCCGGGCTCATTGTTTCGCCCTTTCTCTGCTAATTAAAGCTGTGCGCGGCCCGCTTAGCTTCTAGCGGAAGAGGTTCGCTCTCGCCCCGCAGATCAAAAAAGTTCCGGGCTCACGGAGGCCACGGCGGCGAAGGGCGCGGGCCATGCGGTGGAACAGCTGCAGCCCGAGGCGGAGCCATGCGACGGCGCTGCAGGCAGCAGCAACGCCGGCGACGTCAAGGAGACGAACCAGGACAGCAGGATGGTCGATTTCCAAGACTGGTCCTGCGGAGGAGGCGGCGGCAGCGGCGGCGCCTGCTGCCCTGGTCGCCTGGGGGGGCGCAGGGCCCGGGTCGCGGCGGCCAGGGCAGCTGTCGAACGCCATCAGGCAGAGCCGCGCCACGTTCAGGGTCTGGGCCACTGGCTCGGTTTGGGCACCGCGACGTGCGCGCCTCGAGAACGGCCGATGGCCTACGACCAGGCGTTCGCTGAGGAGGCTCGCCAGTTGAGGCGTCAGCTCGCGGAGGGTCGCTTTCGTCTTTTCTGGGCTGATCTTCTTGGACGACGAAGTGCAGAACGAGGGCAGCGACCGCGACGGCGCAATCGAAGTCTCGGTGATTGCGCGAGGGCCCAGGTGGCGAGCGAGGGCGCGGCCATGCTAGTCGCTGGGCGTGGCAGCTCTACGTTGGCGGATCCAGCAGCCGTTCGGTTTCGAGAATATCCACTTCGCGAGGTCGAGATTCACGGGGTGTTCTTGTGATGTGCGTGCTCTACCTGACGAAAATGGCGAAAGACGTTGGAAGGACTGAGTGGATCGAGTTTGGTAAGCGTGTAATGTGAGGCCGACGCAGCGCGAGCGCAGAGGGAAAGGCCGCAGGCATTTGTCTGACTGGAAGAGTTCGTCAGTCAATGATGACCGGCGCAGGTTGAGAGACAAGCAGCACGCGCAGCACTTGGTGGCGATGTTCTAGGAGATCGTCGGCGCTCTCAGCTATGGGATCGACAGGTCACCACCAGAGTTGAAATCAAAAACGACAGCATGGAAAAAAAACACATTGATTCAGGCTCTGATGTTCTGGGCCAGCGGGGGACAGTGCCACTACCCACGGAGGCCACGATGCGCGCGAAGATGACGTCACTGGTGGACTAGCCGAAGGAGACGAAGCGCCGCAAGTTAGACATCGAAGATCGCTTCGACGACTTCGGCGACAGTACACAGGGTCAGACTTTCCCTACGCGTTGTTGTCGCGAACTACGGCGACGAGCAGGGCGCATGGTCGAAGGATGACGACGACGCCATCGTTGCGTCCGCCGCGGATGATGTCTACGACAACGCGCACTTCGTCTGGCGCTTCACGGGAATACCTGGCGACGATGTAGCTACGTGGGTAGGTGGGACAGGAGTCAGACGCGCAGCGAATCTCGCTCATCTGGCGGTTTATCTGGCCAAATCAGAGTCAGGCAAGGTCGCGCAGGAGATGCGCGGCGGCCGGGTTCACGTTAGCCGCGCATGCGTCAGGAGGCGCGCGGCGTCGACCTAGCAGATCCGAATGAGCGGCAGACGCTCTGACTTCGCTTAGAGCGCGGCGCCACGGCGGCGGCGACGTCTCCGCCGCTGCGGGTTCGCCAGCCCGAACGTGATCAGCACCGAGAAGGTCTGGGAGGCCAACGCGATGAGGTGGCAGCCCCTGGCGAAGCTTTGCGGCGAAGTGGCGATCAACCAGCTCGAGCGCGACCAGGGCTTCACCAACGACGGTCCAGCAGGTTCCACCGCCTCGGCCGGTCGCGGCCGCAACGCCGGGCGCGGCGCGCGCCCGCGAGGGCCAGCGCGTGGGCGACGCGGCGAGCTCGAAGGGCGCGCCCATGAGGAAACGCGCCGAGCCTTGGACGTCGCGCGACGCCCTGCTGCGGCGCGCGGCAGAAATGCAGCGCGACCGCGATCGCCGGGGCGCGGTGATCTGGCGCGGAGACGGGGCGGGCCGGTCTCGGGCCCCGACGCTCGAGTAGCGATCGCCAATGCAATCGCCGGTTATTCGGCGGAGGCGGCGAATAAGGCGGCTCTGTCGGCCCGCCCCGGCGCCGCGACGGCAGCGCCGCTCGAGGGGTAGGTGCCCCGCGCCATGGGCTTAGCGGCCGGTGGCCGGGCGCTCGCTGGAGCGGCGCCCGCAGAACCAGCCGGCGCAGCGCTGGGGGCAGTGGCGGCGCCGGCGGCGGCAACGCCGAGGAGGATGCTGTCGGACGCGACGGCAGCCGCGGCATCGGCGCCGCCGGCCCCCTAGGCTGAATCAGATGCGCCAGCAGAATCTCAGCGCCGCCCTGGGCAGCGGCTGCAGGCGCAGCGGGGCCTCGGGCCATCGCGGCCGCGAAGCGACAGTGGAAGCGCCTCGCGCGCAACGGCAGGCGCGCCCAGCGCGCGCGCGGATTGGAGGCGAGCGCCGGGCGGGCGCCGCCTAGAGAGCAGATTCGAAGCAGAGGCGTCGGCGGCGCGAGAGAAGAGGGCCATAGTCACAGCCAGAGTATTCTCCCATACCTGGTCAAAGTGCAGGGAGGCAACCGAGGCCGGACCGAGCGCGCCAGGAGCGCCTCGACGAGCTCGCGCGGCTGCGGGCGACCCTGCCCCCGGCGCTGGCCTGCCTCGACTGGGCGGGAAGATGGGCGCCGACGACGCGCCCGACGCCTCGGAGGCAGTTGCTGGAGGCGCAGGCGCGGCTGCGGCTCCACCGCAACCGCCCCAGCAGGACGACGCGCAGGCCGACCGGGCGAGCTGGGGCCCGGGCGCTGCGCGGAGAACCGTTGTCAGGAACGACCCAGAGGTGGCGAGGCGCGTGCTCGGGCGGCTGCATCTGGGACGGTTCCACGCGAACAAGAAGGCCATGAAGCAGATGTTCAAGGCCGCGGGCGCTCCTCCAAAGATCATCGGCATGGCGGGCGACTACCGAGTCTGCAGGTCGCGGACGAAGCGCAACAACCAACCAGCCACCACGAGCACTGTCAGCATGGAGTTCAACGACGAGGCGCAGTTGGACTCGCTGTTCAACGAGCGGAGGGCGGTCGGAGCTCGCGGACTCTACCCGACTTTCTCCAGGCGCGTCGGACTTAGGTCTTCGGCCCGATTAGCGCGCTCACAGTCGACGGCAAAAGAGCGATAGGAGGCAGGAGTTGCTCTTGGCTGGGCGGGAACTACGAGGAAGACCAAGGCGCCCGGCCAATGTGCCCAGAGAGGTGATAGACCCATGGCGCAAGAAGGAGAACATCCAGGCGCGCAACGCCATCTCGACCATCGGCGCGACCTGCAAGGCTCTGCGCGAGCGAGCGCACATTTTCTGCGTCGGGATTTCAATCGCAGGAGCGCCCGGGATTATGATGACAGCGATTGAGGAGGAGCTTTTCGCCTCTATGAGACGCTCGGAGCATGATGATTACTCCGTATCCTCCGCTGCTGACTGCTAGCTTGGCGCGCGATGATGCGCGCCGACATATGGATACACGCGCGCACTACAGCGACATGGCAAGGGCCCAGGAGCTGGACATGCGCGGCGCACGAATGTCCTGCCGTCTCTGTTGGCCCAGGCGCCGAGGATGCCGGCGAAGCTCGTTGACGTCGGAGATGTAGCGTTCAGGCGCGATCCCGAGGTTGGCGATGAGACGCGCAGTATACATGATCGCAATGGTTGGCGCAGGCCCAGGTGGACGACGCAACGCGCTGGAGTTCTACTCGAGGAAGCAGGCGCGCGCAGCGAGGTCGGCCAGGGGCGCGGAGTTGCTATTTGCTGTTCTTGGCCAGCTTCCTGATTGATGTGCAAGGCGGCGACCGCTGCCGCGGCGGCCCCTGCGTCTACGACGAAAGAACCAGGGAAATAGGCACGGATTCGGGTGCCTCTGTTCTGGGCCAGATTGGGCCCCGCTAGGCTGGCGATGTTCGACTTATGCCAGCGCTCGGAACGGCAACGCGGATTGGCGACGCAGCGAAGCGATGACTTGCTGGAGCTCTTCGTAAAGCCGAGGCCCGCCCGTTATGATATCATCCATATCGGGTCAGGTCTATAGTAAAGGATGCGGGGCTGAGGGCGCGAGGCCATGAGCCAGCTGGAAACTGACTGCAGGGTTGGTCCGATGATTTCAGCGCTGACGGGCACTGCGAGTTCGGCGGCCTGGACTAGGTCATTACGCGAGGAGCCTGGGCGGCGCGGCCCCGCCCGCGCCCGAGGGCGCGGACGATTCGCCGCGGCGCGCGGCGGCGGCGCGGAGAAATCCACCCTTCGACCCTTCCCTCTCCCCGCTCCGAGATGCTTGTTCCGCTGCGGCCAGAAGGGGGGTCGCTGGAGCATGCTGGGGTCGTGCTATTCACGAGCCCCCCCAGCGCACCCCTTGCGAAACGCTGCCAAGCCGGGGCGTGTTACTTCACCGACTGATTGCGTGCACTCACGCGATATAGCGTTAGTTTGTAATGACCCTTGCTTTTCTGGTATACTGCGCTGCGCCTCTCTGCGATCATCCCGCCCGCGGCCCCCTCGCCCGCCTCATCTCGCAACTGCCTCAGCCGCCGGCCGTCAGCCGAGCAGTTCAAGGGTGGCCCGTGGCGGGGCTGGCTCGCCTCCGGAACGCCGTCGCCTCTTCGCTGCGTGCGCCTCCTTTGCGGGCTCGGATTGAGCGCCGCGCCAGCTTGCGACTCCGTGGCCGGCCGGCGCCGTGCCGCGCCGCGCCCGGCGGGCCTGCCTTGGGTTCTTTGCTGGCACGGCCAGAAGCTTAGCCTAGGTCGCGCGCGCGCGCCTCGCGCAACCCCAACGCGTTTTCTGGAGCTCAGATGAGGCGATGAAGCAGCGGGCCCAGGCGACGACCCGGGTCGCGCGGCCCGTCGGACGAACTTGGCGCCGCGACGCCGTCGCAGCCGCCCCGCGCCCGCCTCCAGCCGAGCCGCCCCCCAGCGAGTGGGCCCCCTTCCTGGAGGCGCCGCCGAAGGCCAGCGCGGCCGCGCCCCCGGCGAAAGCGGAGTCTTCGGCGCAGAGCCCAGCGCGCGCCACTTACGGAGTGGACCGGCGCAGCGCCAGGGCCGCCGCCGCCGCCGCCGCCGCCGCGGCGGGGGCATCGACGCGCGCGCCGCCCAGAGCCGCGTTTTCTTTGTTCTGGACATGCATGCGGGGAGGGGGGGCCGGCAGAGCCACTGGGGCACGCCCAGTAGTTCTCGTCGCGGCCCCTGCAGTTCCTGCCCGCGCCCCCGCGCCCGCAGCCCCGCCGGGCTCGGCCCCCCCGAGCGGCGGCCGCGCGGGCGCGGCGCCGTCGGGCCACGCGCGCCCGCCAGTGGCAGCACGGGCGCAGGCCTTGCCGCAGAGCACGGCGCACGCGGCGGCGGGTCCCGCGCTGGCCCCAGCTGGCGCGCTCCGCCGCGCCCGGATTGGGCGTCGCCAGCGGGGGAGGGGGCGGGCGCGCCGTTCGGCTTAGTTGAATATTGCGTTTCGACTTCGCGGGACCTCGCTCCGCGATGCCGCGCACGGTCTCGCAGATCTTCGCGCGCTTGCCCCGTTAGCAGGCTAGGGTTTCAGCGTCGGCTCGCCCTGCGGCGCCCGGGGGGGCGGCGGGGCTTGGACTCGGGGTGCGTGGGCGGTAATTCCGCTTGCGATGGCGCCGGCATGCGTGGCCTCGCTCCGTTGCTCTGCAATGTCGCGCGCGCGCGCGCGTGCTGGGGGTCGGCGTCTTCGCCCGCCCTCGCCAGGGCAGCCCCCCCGGGGGCGGGGGGGGAGCGCCGCGCGCGCGCGGCCGCGCGCGCCCAGGCGGGCGCGGCGGGGCAGCGCCAGCAAGGGCAAAGGACCCTGAGCCCAGAGTCGCGATGCGCGCGTGCTCCCCGCTTGCTTGTCCTGTCTCGTCTGCCCCACGATCACGCTGCGCCCCGCAGCTTCGCGTCGCCGTCGCAACGCGCCCCCCCGGCCCCGGGCCATCCTCGTTGCCGACAATGCCCTAGCCCAGCGCTCTCCGGAGCGACGCAGCGACGGTCCACCGGCGCGCCTTGCAGGAGGAGGGCGGCGGCCGCGCGCGCGCGGCTGCGAGCGCGCCGCGCGGGCCCAGGCCCCATTCGGCGAGAAGTCACGCGCCGGCCGGGCGCGCCCCGCAGCCGCGCGCAGCTGGCGCGGCCGCTTCCAGGAACGTGCTGGCCGCATTGCACCGGGCCCTGGCACGCCCAGATGGGGCGAACCGCAACGCGGGCGCCGTGGCTGGCCCCTCTGCGCTTTCGCAGCGGAGTTGCAGCGGTTTCTCACGCCATGTAAGGGGGGGGCCCTGCGCGCGCCCCGGGGCCCGCCCGGCGGGGCCCCGCCCGCGCGCCCACGCTTTCGCATGGTAACCTTGAACCCGGACCGCGCGGGTCTACCGCATCTCGGCGCGGGAGTTCATCCTCGCGCGGCGCCCGGGGCCAGCTGCCCGCGCTCTTGTCGAGCAGCGCGTTCGCGTCTGTGGATCACGCCTGGCTTGCGGCCCCCCGCTGGCTGGCGGTCCGTTTGTTTGGGTTGGCCCGACGTCCGCCGAGAGGGGCTCGACCGGCCTCTTCGCGCGGCTCGAGTTGGAGCGGACAGTCAGATTCGTTCGGGAGGCGCCGTCGGCGCGCGAACAATGGTTTGAAGTTTGAAGGGTGACCCCTCGCGCCCGCGCCCCCCCCGTGCATGACCTTCTGCGCCGCGCATCCTGTCCAGCACGGGGACAGATGTCCTCGGACGTCTATCGTTGCCCGTGCTGCGGAGTTTCATGCTGGGCGCCCACTGACCCGGCAATTGCGGCCGACGGCCACCTGTCGTTGCCTGCGCCGCCCCCGACGTTGCCCTGACAGGGATGTTCTGGCATTGCTTGGCGGTGCAATCTTGCGGGCGCCCGCGCCCCCGAAGCCGACGCATTCCTCCAGAACACGCATCGACATGTGTGCAAGCTTGCGAAACGACCCTTTACATTTCCAGGTAGCGGATGTTTTCATAGCCCTCTCGGACCACAACCTTGTCCTGCGCGATGGGCCCTGCCTTGTTGCGGCGCCTGCGGCCGCTGGCCTCGGTCGGGCAGCGTGTATTCCAGGTGCTGAATAGGGGGCCAGCGTCGGTGAATTCGTGTCCTCTCTGGCCTCGCTTGTCCACGCGGTCGAGCAATTCGCGGGGCCCAGTGGCTGCGCCCGGATTGACGCAGAGGCCAGGCCGCGAGGTTCCATTGCCGCGCAGTCCTGAACGTTGCTGCCCGGCGCCGCGACGCAGCGTTCACTTCAGCCAGCCACGGTTCGGGAGATGTCCGCCTCGTCGGGGGGGGGGGGGGGGGCAGCGCAAGCGTGGGCGCCAGCTGCGGCGCCGCCACTGGCCCCTGCCGCGTTTTGTCGCACCGCGGATTTAACGGCGGCTGACGAGGCTGCCCAGCATCAGCGACGCAAGGCAGCGCGCCGCTACTTGCGCCCCAGGAAAATGAATAGCGGCGCGGCGGGCAGTTTTCTTGTTCCTTATTTTTAAAAACTTAAGCACAGATTCGACATCCGGCTCGTCAGCCCAGAGGCTGGGGGCACGCGTTCCGCGTGCGAGACGTTCGATACGATTCCCGCGGGCTTGATAGACCGCGCTCAGAACGACTCCACCAATGCCCCGGAGAGCGGGAACTCATCTCTAGGGCGTTCTCTTAGATCCGTCGCACAGGGGCCGCGCGAGGACCCTTTTGCACATTATGACCGAAGCCGAAGAGGCCACATCATTGTTGCACCTTGGAAAGCGCACGTCGCCAGTTCAGGAGAGTTTATGTATGCCGCGAGCGCTGTTGAACTTAGTGTGAGGTCTGTGCGCTGCGTTTCGTTATTCGCCTCGCTGGCATTTATTTGCCACTTCGGAAGTCGGGCCCACGCGCGGTCGGAGAGTTATCTGCCCTTGGCCCCGCGTCCTTCGACTGAGACACGGCGCCCGTGCAGGGCGCGTTGTGGCTGGCGCGAAGTGAGGTCCGCATGGGGCCAGATATGCGGCGCGGCCCAACAGGTCGGGGTTCGAGGCGTTTCCAGGCCTTTGCCCTCCGCGCGTAGCTTCGGCGCACGCATGACTGCCCCGCGTGGCGGGCTGCAGCGGGCAGAGAATGTGCATGCGGTGTCGCCTGGATTGGCGAGCTCCTTGGCGCCTGCGACGCCAGGGTCGCGGGGGTCGCTTGGCTCCTCTTAGGCGACATCCTGGCGCAGGCCTGCTATGTCCGGTCTTCTCTTCGCCGTGTGGAACCGCCCAGGGCCGCCGTTTTCCCGCCCGCATTTTGAACGCGCAGTGGCGCGCACTGCGCGACGAAAGCCTGGGGCGCTGCCCAGAGGATGCGCCGCCCATGTCCCCCTGCGGACTCGGCGAGCCCTCTCGGATGCAGCCGCTGACGTGCCCCGCGCGCGTCGGGGGAGCGCGCCCTGGCCGCATCTGCCGGTCCGCGAAAACAGGGACAGCGTTGCTGGCAGCCCGGGGCAGGCGGCCCCGCCCGGGGTGTCCGCCAAAGTGCCACCCCGCGGCGTTTTCCAGCGCCCTCCGGTGGAGGCGGGTCGCGCGGCGCTCGCCGAGGCCGTGGGATCTCGCCACCTGCCGCCGACCCAGTCCGTCGACGGCATCACCCCGTCGTGCCCGTGCGAGGGCCCTGCGAGGGCAGCGGTGTCTGCTGGCGGCACCTCGGCTTGCAGCCGCTGCGCCCTCCGGCGGAAGAATGCCACGCGCACGCACGGGCTCGATGAAGCCTGCGCGTGGCCCGTGCCGGACGCCCGGGCCCAGGGCGACCGGGCTGCCCCGCCGCATCTCAGAAGCACTTCCCCGGTGGTCTTGTCGACTCCGGGCTGGCTGGTGCACCGCTGTTGAACGAGCTCGGCCACGCGCAGAGGGGGGTAGTCGGAGGCGGATAGACCTCCTACCCTGACACGTCGATTAAGAGATTGGCCGTTTTCGGTTCGCGAGAGGGCGTCGCGGCCGCTACTATTGCGGGTCCAGGTCCGTCGGTTTCGGTCCCAGGCCGTTTCCACTAAGGGGAGGTTTAGTAAAGGGAGGTTTGTCCACCGCCGAGGTAGGGGTAGGGGGGAAGGCTTCCCAGAAGCACCCCTGCTTCTCAGAAGGCGCGGGCCTCCTCTGCAGATGCGAGGCGGGCGCCTTCTGAGAAGCGGCATCCTCTCAAGGAGCCTCCCCCCCTCCTCCTGCCTCCTTGC